CGGACTGCACCATCTAGAGTTCCAGGCCAGAAATTTGTATGCTTTGTATATATATCTGTGTATATATATGACATTATTATATTACATTGGTCTCCAATGGCTATCTTAGATAATTAATTTCAATGTTTTATTTTTCTCTAAAAATGGAAAGCTGGCAAAAAAAAAAAAAAAACACCCACTCATCGTCTGCAGGTGTTCATTGTTCACTCTTTAAACTCCTGTTTGACAGCAGTGCCATGGTCTAGTTTCCCAAAGAATAACATGAGGTTAATAGAGTCCACCTTTCAAGCTTTTAGTTGACCTGAAATGGTGCTGGAACAAGACTTAAAGTCCTCATCTCCTGACAGTGCTTTCACATGCAGTAATTATAATGCTCTATGTGCTAATTCTGAAACAATGCTTTTAGAGCCAACCATGAAATCAACTTCTCTAGTAACTGACTCATTAATGTTGCCCAAGAACACAATGTACTCTTGAAAGATAAAATTAACAGGTTAAACAGAAAAAGGTCAACATGATAAAAAGGTAGAATAATTTTAAAAGCTGTTTTTAGAAATTAATTGCTCAGAACGAAAAAAAAAAAAAAAACACATGCTCGCTTTCTCTTTCTACAATTTCCAGTCTCTTTAGAAATATTAACAACATGGACTGACGTTTGACATCATTAATGTAGTCTCTTGGTTACTGAGAATGTGATGCGAAGGGAAGATAGAAAAAGGGATGTGAAGAAAGAGAGAATATGGCATTTGGGAAGGAGATAAGTAAATTGGGAAAAGGAAGATGGAAAATAGCTGTGGGGCTTCTCTTTGTGCAACCCAAATTGAAGAGAGAAACTGCTTTTGAGAGATGCTTAAATCCACAATCTGCCATATCCGAGTGTTTACATACATTTAGCAGAATACAGAGATGTGGGAGTAAACTGGTTTAGTTATCTGTTTAACTAAATAGATTTTTTTTTCAATATATTTTGACACCCATATTCCATACACTGCATTCTCTACAAGGCAGAAGAGTGTTCATTCAAAAAAGCAAGAGCATATACATCTAACTAATTCATGCTTCACAATGTAAAGCACGCCAACGCTGCATGTAATGAAACTCCCAGTTCCTTTGATATGAAAACTGAAGTGGCTAATGACTGAATGTATGTCTGTAACTGTATAAAAATTACAGATGAGAAAAGAACTAACCACATTTTTCAAGATAATGTTTTTTTATTTTTGATTGGAACGAGTTATATTTCACTATTCAGATCCTCCCCATCCCCCCCCCCACCGAATCACGAGTTTATTACTTTTAATTATTTATTTTATTCATTATCCATGGTGGAAACAAGCTTGCATGAGAGATTTATATGATGGGTTTCCTTAAACTCAGTATGGTTTACAGTGAAATATAATCAGAGAAAACAATCCTTATCATTAGCATAAATCTGTTGTTAAACAATTATATATTTGCACGAACATGACAAACTCTCTCTTTTTTTTTCTCTGTCCGTCAAGGATGGCATGGGAAATCTCCGTGTAACCAAAGAGGGCATCAGATTAGAGGGCGTGTCGGAGTTCCTCCTTCCACTTTATGTGAAAGAAATCAAATCCAGACGGGTAAGAAGTACAGTTTCGTTTTCTAAATGTGTGATGGGAAAGTCTTTGGAGATCAAGCATATTTAGATGGATTGTTTGTTTTTTTGTTGTTGTTAGGAGCATTATCTCAGTTCTGTGTTTGAATCAAGTGGTACTTTATTATATTCCCTGGTACTGGTAGATCTTCAAACATTGTACTTTTTTATTTCCACTAGCATGATGCCATGTCACAAAAACAAACAAAAAAACAGAGTAATAGGACTTTTTAAAGTGGTGTCAGCAAACTAAGTGATTAGGGTAGTGGGTTTACTTTTTGTACGAGGATTTTGCTCCTGTTCTCTTGGCAGATGCAGCAGGTCACAGGGACAGGACCGCTGCTGAATCCACCTTAAGCAGCTCAAACAACCTGCTGAACTTTGCCTGCTAAATCCCACAGTGAAGTTATTTCACTCTGTGCTGCCATTTAGCAAGTAAATCTGCTGGCTGATGTCTTTTCAGCCTGTAATACAGGTTCAGCTCATTCACTCTGCTATATCTATCTATCTATCTATCTATCTATCTATCTATCTGTCTGTCTGTCTGTCTGTCTGTATTACAATATTTACCTTTTATTACATGTTAATAGTGGAAAGAAAGAAAGAAATCCTTATGTGAAGACTTTCTTTCTTTCTTTCTTTCTTTCTTTCTTTCTTTCTTTTTAACAGCTGTGGAATAGCTGTTAAAAAATAATTGAAAATAATGGAGAATTTGTTTGCTTAAATGCAGCATGTTTTATTTAGCATCTTTTCATCTCATTTGCATTTTGTCAAGCAATAAATTATAAAAAATTAAGGACATTTATACTTCTTTTGCACTCTCCATCGAATGCTGGCACACCCACCATGCTGACAGAAAGTGTAAATTGGCATGGTTTCAGACATCACTGGTCTGTCATCGCAGGTACCAGCTGTGATGCTGGAGTTAGTGTGCTGGGGATTCTAGCTTGAACTCTTGATATATGTGACAGGACAGAGTGTAGATCACTAAAATGAATAGAGCAAGCACACAGGCACACATTCTTTGTCAAGCACACATGCAGAGAAGTACACAGGGCGCTTCCCCAAACTGCTGCTGTACGCATGCATCATGTTCCGGTTCATTTGTATTTGGCCTCTGTTGACCTTTAGCACCCAATTGTAAACACAACATCGTTGATCGATTTCTCACATTCTCTTTCCCTCTCTTTTTCTTTGCATCTCTTTCTGCAACACACTGTGGCTGTTATCTATCTATCTATCTATCTATCTATCAATCAATCGCTATCTATCTATCTATCTATCTACTTACCTGTTTATCTGTCTGTCTGTCTGTCTGTCTGTGTCTGTCTATCTAATGCTATATTGTTCTATCTATCATTCTATCATTCTATCGTTCTATTGTTGTCATATATATATATATATATATATATATCAATGTCTCTTAACATTTTAATGTGTTAAGGCAATTCATGTTTAAATCTATCTACTTTAAACATGAATTCCCTCTAAACATAGTAAAATATGAATTTGTTACATTTAGACCAATTTACTCTTACTGCAATTTTACTCTTACTACATCTTAGTATATATTTATTTAAGCAATAACAAACACAATGTTGTCACAGTTGTTATTCACATCATTTTGAGCAGAGGCAAATTTCAATATTACTTTTATGTTGTATATGTGTGGTTAATCTCATATTTATAGGATGTGTTTGGATAAGTTAATTAACCTGCTAACAGTGCTTCAGTTTAAAGATGTTCCATCACTGTTCCGCTTCAGCTCATGCAGCTCTGGCAGGTCAGTCCCTGACATTACTGACTACGATTGACTTATCTGAAACAATCATACTCTTTTTAGGTTTTTCTTCAGTGCTGTTGTTAATAGTACATGTGCTTTTCCTCTCACATGTTTCTCAACAGTAAGTTGTAACTTACATCTTTTTAACTGACAAAATCAGAAGGCCTTTTTAGAAATCATATTTGAAACACAACCTTAGCAAGGTGTAAACTTTTCACAATCATGTTGCTTTAGATTATTAGGTAGCATATGCTATCCCATGTTGGGGAACCGTATCCAACGGAACTGGTAATGGGAGCACTAGTGGAACTCAACCTAGAGGTGTTGCAGTCTCTATACTTAAGTCTATACTGATACACTTTGCAGAAACAATGGCCGCTAAGCCTGCTTAGGTTGCACATTAATTAATAATGATAAACCCCTTTACCACTGCTCAGATAAACTTATAAAGAAGCCTTGTCCTTGAGTCAATAAATCAAAGTGCCTAATGTGTTAGCCACTGTGATTAGCATTAAAGAACACAAACAAAGCACTGGCTTGCTGCTAGCTCGCTGATGGCACTCCTGATTAGCCTCAATAATCACCAGCGCACATCAAAGCTTGTCGAGGGGCTTTTGCTTTTACCCTCAGCACCCCACTGAGAACACATCGCCGCAAATCCCAACACACCCTCGCAGCAACACCACAGCCATTTTGGGTCGTTCGCCTCAGATGACTGTGAGGGTGCAACATTGCAAATTACAATTAATCCACCTAGTGTAGAAAGCCAGAAGCTTGGGGTCGGGGGACAGGACATGGTGGTCTTGGTCTGCGAGGAGAGCCTTGAGCTGTAAAGCTGAATCCTGCAGACAAGTTGTTTTGGCGTCTCCTACAAAGAGGGATTGTGCCATGGCCTGGATTGACACCCTGCTTCTACGAGGCCGCCAATGATGTGTGACACGGGCACTCATGAAAGAGAGACCGAAATGGAAACATATGAAAGGAAAGGTGCTAGAGAAGATGAATAAAGATGCAGAACATGAGGGGCAGCAGGAGAAGTGACAGTATGAAGCCACCATGGTTGAAAAGTAAAAAAAAAAAAAAAAAAAAAAAAAAAAAAAAAAAAATAC